GGAGGTTTTTAAGGCCCAGCTCGACAAAACCCTGATTGGGATGATCTAGTTGGGGCAGGTCCTGCTTTGAGCAGGGGTTGGACTAGGTGGCCTCCTGAGGTCCCTTCCAGCCCTCATTTTCAATAATTCTATGTAGAGGCTTGTGTAATATTTTTAAAGGGAAAACATTTTTAACACAATTGTTTCAAGTGATAGAGAACCAACCCTTCTTCCCCCACATGCATACACACAGGAAAATGAGAAGAAAGTTAATTTTATTCTAAATCTCACTTAGTTTGAGGAGTCAAGATTTTGCCTTTGGTTATTGCAAGTCTAAAGTACAGTAGCTTGGATTTTTAAAACAATTGGATGGGAATAAAAATGTTATGGATTACATCCAAATTTAATGAAATCATCACTTACTCAGCTAAAATTTTGAGTCACTTAATGGGAAGCTTGCCAGCTACATAGGAAAGTGCACATGTTCAAAAGAAGGCCAAAATAATAAAGAGAAAGAGGATTTGGCCTTCAGAAAAAAGTTAGAGACTTTCACAGCCACCACCCAACAATCATAATGGGGCTCACTTGACTTGGTATAATTCTGGGCTCACGCTCTCATGAATACAGGCTTTTGAACAGTTTCTTCAGTACAGTAGGCATAGACAAGCTTTTGTTCCACATCAGGCATGCATGCCTTCTCTTTATGCCTATTTATACATTTTTCAATAAATATAGTTATCTTAATCATCACCAGAAAATCCTACTAGATGTTAACGTTTCAGTTCCTTCATGGTCTATTCTCCTTACCATCTCACTTTCACGGACTCTGCCAAATAATGACAGCATAAAATATTTTCAACATAACATACCTAATGTTTCTGAAATATCAATGAATACTCAGTAATTTTGGACTGTAAGCCATGGGGGATGAAAGATGTATTCATTTGAAAAGATAGAGGATAAGGAAAGTGAAGTGATGTGCAGTAGGGAGAGGAGGGGGTAAAAAATGGCCATCATAGCAATATGTATGCATGGTTACTTAGTTTAGGTCATTTAGCACCAGATCTGGATATGTTCTGTAGGTGCCTAAAAGGAATTCAGGTAAAAGTGGCCTCAGTTTCAGACAGCTTGTATTGGCCCTGCTCACAATGCTCAGTGACTGTCTCCTATATTTTGGTCTTCAAAGATCCAAAGGCCTCTAGGTTGGACTTTTGAGAATGCTCAGAAATGGTCTAGTTCAATAACTAAAAATGATCCAGTTCAGTAACTGAGGCACCCAACTCCTGCCTGTCGTGAATCAGAGCAGCCGCCGGCAGCTGTCTGACTCACACCGGAGTGTTTAGATTTAGAGCTCGGCAGGTGGGTAGTGATGGATGGAGTGGAATTAACCAGGCACAGACACATGTAGGTTACAGGAGTTTGTTTACTTACGTCGCCTAGGTAGTGATGACGACGCAGGCGAGCCTTTGTTCCGTTACAGCCTCGGTTACAGAGTTGAGTACACGCATATAGCTTCGGTTACAACGGGATAATGACGGACGTGGCGCCGGAACGAACGGTCGGGCTTGTAAGACTTTCTACGTCAATATTTTACGCTGACGGGGTGATTGATTGGGAATTGATCAATTTCCCAACTCTCTGGTGACAAGCACAGGTGTTTCCTGTGAGATCCCCAGAGTTCTCCGACTTGGGCGGAAACTGTTAAACTATTTATAGGCAGAGGTGTTTTACAGGGATACCCAATGGTGAACCGTTATATGGAATCTTTAATTTTTTGGCAAGCAGCAGCTCTTTGTCTCCTCAAGTTACAAGGTAGTGGGTTAGGTTTCTCTACCTGTTACGTGTGTGCTACGTGTGAGGAGCTTACGCTTATTTTTTGACCAATTATATATAGTTTCCCCTCACTTTTTATTTCAGCTGACCAATTATCTACAGTACTCCGGCCGCGTTTTGTTTCAAGGAATTTTTGGCAGGGATGTCTTTTAACCCTTAGTCATCAAAATGAGGATGATTTGAATGGTATCTCTTGCTCAGTGGCATGGGCACAATTTAATTGGGTTGTGACACTGCCCTAGCTCTGTTGAAATCCAGATTAAGTACCTCCCTAGTATCAAGTCTCCAGAAGGATCTGACCTGTTAGTCATGCTCAGAGTACACCTGACTCACATCAGCAACATCGAGTGCAGCTCAACGTTGACAATGGTGGAGCCCAAAGAAAGTGCGAGACCTGTGTTTTAAGTCTTCCTCAGGCTGGAGAGACTCAAACCCACATCGCTTGTCCTAACCATCAGGTTACAGACTAGTCTGGATGGGAGCATCCTCAAGTCTTGCAGTTGAAGCTGGGAAACTGAGCATCCAAGAATGGAAGACTCATGTGGCCAACAGGAAAATAAGTAAGAGAGCAGGATTCAGTAGCCTAATAGTTTGGGCACTCAGTGGAGGAAAGGGGAAGATCTGGGTTCATTTGCTAGATCTAATGAAGATCTGGGTCCATTTGCTGCTTTTAATGGACAGCCATCTAGCATAAAACACACAAACAGTGCTAGGATTTCTGCTTTGGAGCCTGTTGTTAGGATTTTCTCCTGGGAAGTGAGAGATGTGGGTTTGAATCCTTGCAGGCTATGGTGATCAACATCCTGGGCAAGCATTCTGTCCATTAAGTTACTATGGGAAAAGTGGTCATTGCCAACACCAGCCAGTTAGACGCCTGAGGTCAGAAGAGGTTCAAAGGATTCTGGATCCTAGCAGAGCACAAATGCTCAAAGGAGACCCTGTTTCCTATAGGCTACATCTCCACATACTCTGTATGTGCTTAAACCTAGTAGTGCAAGAGTGATGTTTTAGACATGTTTGTCTAGAAATTAAGTGATAGGCAAAACCGTCTTAGGTTGGTATCTTTTATTGGAACAACTATGCAGTTGGGCTAAAATTAGACAAGCTTTATCCTGATGAAGAATGTCTTATATTCAAAAGCTGATCTCACTGTATCCCAACGACATAGTTGGTTCAATAAAAGATATTACCCTAAGCAGTTTTTAAACCTGGTCAAATTGGAATGCTTTCCTGAGTCAAGGTGCCTAAGTTTTAACATTGTAATGCCTAAGTTGATCCTAAGTTTGATCCTATGACCCCAGCTTCAATCCTATGACCCCAGCTGACTTCCTGCCCTTTGGGTGGGGGGCTGGACTCGATGATCTTCCGAGGTCCCTTCCAGCCCTGATGTCTATGAAATCTATGAAGTGTGAGTACTTTCATGACCAAATTACATCTGGCCCTTAGCAATTAAGGGTCTACTTATGTTGCTTTATTATGCGTAAAAGGTAAGAGTTAGTTACTATTGATTTATTTTTTGTGGGTTTTAAGAAATGAATTTTCAAAGGGAGTTTAAAGAGGAGAGCTAAAACCAGAGCAGATATGGTGAACATAACTTTTTTCAGCTGACATTAAGTGTTTAATTTAATAAGACAGTTACATAGAAAGACATCTTTAGATTAAGTGAAGGGCATTACTACAATGCTGGTTGGACTTTTTGGAGAAACAGAAGAGGCCAGTGCAAAAAAGAGACAAGCAGAATTTAGAGAAGCAGAACCCATGAGTTTAGATCAAGCAGTCTCTGGAGGGTTTTTAAATAGGCAATCACAATGAATGAGGAACCAATAGAAATGTTTAAGTATATGGGAGCCTTGAACTGCACATTTTATCAGTCTAAACAAAAACCAGGGAGCAACTTTCTGTGCATGCTGGAGTCTTGTCTTTACAATTCAAATTATGGATAGTAATAGGGCAAGATGTTAAAATGAGTATGGTGGGAACAGCTTAAGCGTAAGTTAATATTTCACTAGCAGTAGACTGAAGTAGACAATGTTGTAGAGTTATTAGGCAAAACTTTAAAAAATGGAAGACATCAGAGGAGGTTTCAGGATCTATAAATATAATAAACAATCTAAAATGCAGTGTCAGATTTTCAACTGGCATAAACTGGCACAACTCCACTGAGGATTTGCTGGTGTTTAACAAGAATCTCTTGAGACTGGGTAATGAGGATAGCTCCTTCTAGTATGAAACCTTTGAGATTTAGGGACTGGGCAAAATCAAATATAGCTTTAACAAATGTGTTACGCCATTAATACATTGAGTCATTATCAGATGATTAATAATTGATCAAGATCTGGAAAAGCAAATTTTCCCTGAATGAGTAGAAAGGAAATTAATTGTTTTATAAGAGATTTGAACAAAATGCTGACAGTTATTATGCTAAGCAGAAGACGTTTGCCATATGGTCTCAAGCAAATGTCTTGAAGTCTGACACTTAGATATGTTACTTTAATAGTCTGGGCTATCCAGTTAAGTTCTCATAAATCATAGTAAAATATTAGCGTTTAGATTCTTAACAGTCTAATTATCCCACACAGAGTCTTGTATATCTGTCATTGGTCTCTTAAGTCCATACAATAGGTAGCTCCAATCTAGCTGAGATTTTCTATTGTGGTTTGATTAATGATCAGTGGTCATGTATGGTTTGTTCTGGAACCCGTTTTTAAGGCCTTGTAAGACGTTTCCCTTATTTAAAATTTTACCAAACTTATTCAGGTAAGAAATGCCAAACTGTAGGGCTGAGAATTGCAGCAATTGGACGTTTCTATATAGATGTAAAACATCTCTCAGATATGCCCCACTTTCATTTTTCTGGTGTTTCAGGTTTCAAAAAATATTTTTAAATTACACACATTATAAATATTAAATAATGTTTCTTTTATTTTTTACTTTCAAATTATTAATTGCTTATAAACTGAATATTATTTATTTTTATTTTTAAAGTACCAAATCTCTTTCACAGCATAATGATTTCCACTTTGTTTTTTCTTTTTGACATACAAGAACAATCTGAGCAATTAGCAATGGGTACATTAAGCAGCATCAGACAAAGAAGTATTATGCAACATATTTTTTGTTTTCTATATGCAAGTTCTAATTAAGATGTTAAAGCTGTATGTACTTAACCTTCTTTAACTGTATTTTAGCACTTGTAAAAAGAACAATGGAATCTCTGCAACAAATCAAAGCCTTAGAAGTGCCACTGAAGGTATGGAAAATTGTGAATTGAATTACATTTATGCTAGTGATTCCATCATATTGGCTCCTGTAGGGTATAGTCAATCACTTTTAGTGCCACCAATGCTGAATAGAGTAACACTATCATCTCCCATGTCTTGCATCTAATACTGCTGTTGATGCTTCCCAAAACTGCATTCATCTCTCTCTCTCTCTCTCTCTTTTTTTTAGCCGCATCACGTGGCTTACTCGTGTTGTTTGTGACCTACCAAAACCCCAAGATCCTTTTCCATAGTGCTGCCACCAAGTCCCTTATCACTCATTTCATAATTGTTTTTGATTATTCTTTTCTACTTTTAGTACATTGCAGAAATTGCATATAAAAAAGGTTAAAAGTATATTAAAGTTACAAAGTTCGTAAGTGAAAATTTCATAACTATAACTGAAATATTGGGAAATGCCAGAGATCAGCAAGCCCCAGCACAGTTACTTAAGTTACCCTTTATAATGCAAAGACAAGAGAGTTGGGATTTGGAGAGTCAATGAAAATGAAAGTTAACAAGTTTATAATTGGTAAATAGATTATTAGAACTTAGAAGGGCAGGTACTTAACCAGATAATGAGAACAACTGGTTACAAAAGTGTAGGGTATAAATCATGTTCAGGGCATAAACTTACTGCTAGCTGGCAGATGTTAAGAAAATGTCCATGTAAGCAAAATGTTCCACACCTGCCAACTACAGTTTATTCCACCTGTCTCTAAAGTATCTGGGAATAGACATTTTCAGAGACAAGACATTGGACTAGACAGACTTTTGACCTGATCAAATACAGCAAATTCTAGAATAGAATTGCAAATTCCAGGGTTAATGACTAGTAACTTCTCAATTGGTGAAAGAAAATCAATCTTTGGACAATAGTATAGTCAGTATATACTATTCATTGCAACAACCTATTTAAAATCAATAGGGATCGCTGGGTTTTTAAAAGATTAGGAGTATTTGACGATCAAGGATAAATAACATCTACAGATATATGGAGGAGATTGATTATCTATATTTTACACAAACCTTCTGTGGAGATCAGGAAGACACTTTTCTCCATGCAGAATGCATATTTGGCTCTATGCATTCTAAAGGTATTTCACCCCCACCTGAATCATCAGATATGGATCAGTGGCAATGGCCAGATATTGAATTTGATGGTGGATTCAGCAGAGTAAATCCTGGGTTCTTTAAAACAAGAATCTGTGTTGTTGTTAAGATTTGTTTTTATCTCCTCATATAATGAGGATAATGCTCCTGGGATTGGCAAGATGAAGATGATTAACGGTTTTTGTAAAATGCCTCTGCTCTGCTTCTGTGCATACCTAACTTCTACTTCATAGTTATCCAAATGCTCTTTTAATATGAATATTATCCATTTAATACGGAGAAGGAAGTGTCACTGAAGTACAGCACACGCATTCATAGTGGAGAGAGACTCCTTTTTTTTTTTGCTGAGAGAAAGGATGCCTTATCTTTGAAGTGGCTTTTTTCCAAAATGTACAGTCCCTGTTACTGAGGCAGCTTTCATGTCGGAAAACCTTTATTCCTGGAAGAGAATTAGTGATTGCAAATTAAATTTAAAAAAGAAAAATACGTGATAAAAGCACAGTATATTTATGATATTGTTGCCAATGTTGTTGATCATAAACACTGTAGTATTGGCATCTGCTTTGAATAGGGCTATAAAACAGTGTAAGGACTGTTTTGGTTTGGGGCATTTGCACATTAAGGGGCTTTCTTTAGTCCAGTGAAACATATGAGCATGTCCAAAGGAAAAGGATAGCCCAAAAGGTTATAGCGTTTTAGTTAGGAATTAATTACAGCAGTAATTAAACAAGTTACAGCGGTTTGAGATATTTCAGATGAGTTAGGCTTATAGCCTCAATTTTTATCAGCATCTAATAGGAAAAGCAATAGCAATAATAATCTTGCTATATGTGATTGACTTGTTTGTTTTTAAATCTTATTGACAGGTCCCCTTGAAAGTGATTCTCACCACTGGAAAATCATGGGGATGTATGACAGAATTACAGAAGATGTAAACCAGCCATCAGGGACGGTATTCAATACCCGCACACCTCATTGGCCTATGCTGATTCCTCACTGAATCACTAGGCAACAGCTCTGCAGGATCTTTCATAAGCACCTAATACTCTGCATGTGAATTTTTTTCTTCATTTTGTCTGTAGCCCTAGGCAACAGCAGTAAGATAAAACTGGATTTTACCAGTTCATTGTGATTCTTTTAGCCAAGGTAACCAGCAGGGAGCTGCTTTTGTTCAGAGCTAAATTACTACATGTAAGAAATGAAGCAAGACAATATTAACCCTTCAGGGAGCATAACATTCATCTAATTCATAGACACAGGCTTAACATTAAATATTTTGTCAGATGCTTCTACGAATGCAGGATAACTGAAAATCCTGCCAACGATACAGGTTTAAACATATCAGTAGTTGCTCCACCGTTACGTTCAGCATTCTAGCTGATAATGTTTGAGCAAGGTGTCCGTTTGCTTCTTACAAGGTTTCTTACAGGCCCCGAATGTGCAAATGTCCAAAGACAAAAACGTTTATAACGTATTGATGACATCTTCCACAGATCTAGGAAAGCTTTCTTCAGAAGCAAATTATTTTTCAACCTTTAAATGTCTGTAAGTGTTTTAATAAGAACAAATAGACAGATATTGGATGCTTTAAGACTTTTTTGAAAACCCTGTTTCTGGTTAGGCATGGTTATCTTTAAACTCAAGTTATATGCAGTAAACCAGTCATATGCTAGGGTGTTAATGGGGACTGTAACAGGCATATTTGCCTAATTTATTATTTAAGCTACAGATATATTGATAAGTATTTGTTTATCATAAAGTCTATTTATGGTTTAAAGTCATATGGTTTTATGGTTTAAAGTAAGTTTGACTTGTTTTTATGTTTTAATGTTTTGTTGTTGATATTTTGGCTTGATTTGGTCCTGTTCAATAAATGAGACGTTTATTGCAGCATTACTTAAAGCCTTGTCCCTCTTTATTCTTCTGGGAGCTACAGGTATCTCCAAGCCCCTCTAACCTAACTGGAAATTGAGGACATATGTGGAGTCTTCCAAGATATGCTTAGTACTTTACAGGATTTGGCCTCAAATGACTGAAGCTTCGGTACAATCGTTTCAGCTTTAGACCCCTTGTTTTGGTAGCTGTTTTACGTTGTATCATTAAAATTAAACCATTTTGCATAGCGCAGAAAGATTAAACTGTGATGCATAGTAAGCTGTTCGTTTTCATTTTTATCTTGCTACATATTAATCATGCTTAACTTGTCAGCCAAAATGATTCAGTTGTTGTTTCTAAAAACTGATTCTAGCAGTTTTAAAATTAGCAGCTGGCATGTACACAATGTTAGAGCCTTCCACACTGTAATTATGGGCCACATCCTTGGCTGAGGTAAATCAGCACAGCTCCGCTGACTTTTATGGTCCTTTGCCAGTTTACACAAGCTGAGGATCTGGCTCTTTATTTTCAACAGCATGAAAGAAGTTGTGCCAATTTTCTTCTCCTTTGTGCTGGTTACAGATTGATTATTTTTATATACATTTGATATGCAGTACAACTTTACATGATGCACTATGAATGAATTGTCAAACATTCAATTGGTAATAGAGCAGCAAGGTCTGTTTCAGTTAAAGTTCTCTAGGTCTTCCAGTGCATCTCCAGTTAACTCCGTATGCCATTTTTGGCATCCTCATAGCACAGTGCAATGCCACATATAGTTATTTGAGCTCTTTTGGGGGCTGGAAGCTGTATTGTCCCATTGGTGTGGCATATTCTGCCCAAGCTAATACAACCTACTTCTCAGGGCAGCTAATTAGCACGGGGAGCCATGAAATCATAGAGAAGTCGGGCTGGAAGGCCCCTCCACAGGCCACCTAGTCCAGCCCCCTGCCTGAGCCAGGATCATCCTATCCAAACCATCCTGTACAAATGTTCTGTGCTAACACGGGTCTGCTGCTTCTAATGCCCAGCTAACTTTAAGAGCTTGCTCTCTCTGTGGGATTGCCATACAGATATATCCTTGGGATGCACATTTTTGAGCTAGGTTCTGTGTCACTGCTGGAGTTGTTAATACCAGGCATACTCTAGATCTTAACAAAAAATCAGTGATTGCATTTAAAACTATTAAATCAAGCATTAAGGGCCACTTCTATGTTGGCAGAGCCTTGCATAAACATATAGCTCCACTGATTTCAATGAATCACCTGTAGATGCAGCCCCCCAGCCCTGTAGAACAAATTGCAGGCTGAAGAGCAAAGTTTGTGCTATAGAGAAGTCAGGGAACACACAGATTACAGGTTCACGTACAGCTTTTCACTCCACCTGTTCTTATATTTAAATGGAACCCCTTGGTTCATAATTGAAAGCTATTCTTCAAGTCCTACAATTTAGTTGTTACCCTTTGGCACAGAAACTTAGCCAAATTTCAGGCTACTATGATGTCTCCATTAGGAGGAAATATTGATGGCAGAATCAGGAACTTCCATGCTGCATTCTTGTTTTATTTACCAAAGTGTACAAAGGCCTGTTTCCCTGAGCCCAGCACAAACCAAACAGCAGAAGACCTTTTCTTTGCTCGCAGCCTCAAGCTCCTTGCTAGCCAGCAATTATCCTGAAAGCTCTTTCATAGCTTGGCTGTTCTTCTGGTTCAGGCTGTCTGAGGCTTCATGGTTGTGTTCCTTCTCAGCTTCTTGGCTAAGTACAGGCAGTCAAAAAACCCAAGGCTGAATCGATTCAATCTTCACAAATTAGTCTAAGTTGCGTAGATTTAACCAATAAGCAAGTGAACAGACATTCAGTTTTGATTCTGGAACTGCAGCAACATGCCTGCAGTGACCCAGGCCAGAAGCCAGGGGGCATTAGAGTACGCCTCCCTGCTCAGCTGGAACAGATGGCTTGGACCAGAGTTAACACCAACCATCCTGTGTAGTGGGGTTTGCAGAGGAGGTGCAAAGCATCCTGGGATGCTGGGGGACTGTGAGGTAACTTAACTCTGGAGGGAATCTGGGATAGAAGTTCAATAAACCTACTTAACCTAAATCAGTTAAGTCTGATATTACAGTAAAAGCTCTGTTATCTGGCATCCCCCAGGAATGGGGGATGCCAGTTAATCAAATATTCCGGTTAATCAAATGTGCACCATCTGGCGCACTCCCCAGCATCAGTGTGCTGGGGGACAGGGAGAGGGGCCCCATGCAGGCTGCTTTGCCCTGGGCCATGGGCCAAAAAAGTGGCGAAGAAAATCTCAGCTCGTGGCAGCAAAACGGGAAGTCCCGCGGAAGTGGTACTTCCAGTTTTGCTTTTACTGCGTTGCTTGGATGCCGGATAATAGAGTTTTCCAGCTAATAAAGTGCCAGTTAACACAACTTTTACTGTACATCTATCCAGGTTTATCTTAAAGCTTTTTTTTTGCCATTTTGAAAGTGATTTATGTGCACTGAACTTCTGTTGCATTACAGATTTGAACCAATTTCCGATCACTTATACCAATTCATATGTAATTTCTGTCCGTAGCCCTTGGGTCTTCCTTTCTCTCAGACAAACAAGCCTTCACAAAAGAATATCCAGTGGAATCCCTACACACATGTGTATCTTGTGCATATCTGTAGTTTAAAAGAGCTGGACATTTTGGGGTTGTAAAAACCTTATCCAAACTATCAAAAAGTGTCTCTTCTGTAAACGTTCTTCATAAGGAGAAAACTGGTGCAGCAAACACAATGCTGGCTTTGCAAAGAAAAGTAAGGGCTGCAGACTGCACTAGCAGCACACAAACCCCCAACCCCCCCCACCACATGTTAGCTGCTTGTGGGCTGTGTAAGGCCCATGGGCCACATACTGGTCCTTTTTTGGGTCATGGGTCATCAACTGGACAGTCTTGATTCAACAAAGTACAAATGATACTGTATAAATTATTTTTATTTTTACAGTACTTTTCCACCCGAAAATTTCACATCATTGGCTCAACCACTTTTCACTGCCATCTACGTTTCCTTTCCCTGTCCCATTTCCTTTCCTCCCCAGAAGTGAGCCCTTTCAACGAGGCTCAGAGGAATGCTTGTTGGTTTTGTGAAATCTGCTGGCTGAGGCGCGTGCTGCTCATCTTGTTTTAATGGAAAGCCGGGTCTCTTCCCAGCTCTACCAGCTTCAATGTCCATAGGTTCTGTCTCAGTCTTGGGAACAGTCCTGTCCCTGGTACATTATGCTGTCTCATGGGTTTAATTCTGGGACCCAGTATTTGCTGTCCACTGCTTCATTTCTGTGGGTCAGTACTGGCAAGGTTTATCTTTCTTAATGCTCACACTGTGAGGAGGACTGTAGATTTTGTGGACCCATAAAATCTCACAATGTTTCTCAATGGATCTATGTGTAACCCATACAGGCAGGGCCATCCCTAGGAAGGGGTGAATTGGGGCAACTGCCCCAGGCCTCACGCTTTCGGGGGTCCCATGGAGCTGGACCAGCTTTGCGTCTGGCTGCTGCCCCCCCCAGGCCACCGCGTCCAGACCCCACACCCTGCGACAATTGTCTTTGCATACAGGACTCCAACTCTACTGAAATATTTGTTCATTAGCACTTTAACTCCTATTGCAGAGACTTGGTTCCCTGCTGAGCAAGACCCAGGCCATTTTGTGAAGTTGTCCTTATCTGCCAGCAAATACTGATTGCTGCACACCTCTGTCTCAGTCCTATTAACAGCAATGTGCTCCATTAGAGTCCATGTGAGCGATGCCTGTGATGAGCCTCTTTCAGCCTTAGCGACTTCCTTCTTTGCAAAGCCAGCATCAGTCTTGCTCGCAAATCTCTCCCTGCTGCCTGGTATTTACAAAATATAATTTTTTCATAGCTTGGATAAGATTTTTACAACCCCTAAATGTCCAGATCTTTTAAAATCCTACCATAACTTCTGAAACTCCTTTCTCAACATAAAGTAAGCTGTTAATAGTACCCATTACCTACTGATGTTTCCTAGATCCTATATACTATTCTGTCTTTAAAGTCTAAGCTTTCCCATTGTGATCAGAAAGCTTTTTCTGACCTGTTCGGAGAGGATAACATGTTCCACGCTGGCTGTGCTCGGCAGCTGATTTTCTGCTTGTGTACTATTCTGGTACTAGGAATGTCTCTTTGGGAATCTTTTCTGGAACTGCATATCCACCATTACAGGAACATTTGCCCTTCTGCAAGTTATGGGAAGAAAGGAAACCACCATCTTCTTGGCAGAACATTCATTCCCTTATACAACCAATTGTACAACTAATTCCTGGGACAAGGCATCAGGATTACCAAGCTTGTTCCCAGTCTTGTGTGTGAGTATGAAATCATAGCACAGCAATTTTCCCCCTTGCCTGGATGCCTGAATATAAAACCCCATTATGGAGAAACATAGTCCTGACTACAAACTTTCTCCCATACAAATAGTGGTTAACATGCTACATTACCACAGACAAGAATACAAACGTTTTTGTTGAAGAACGTAGGCCCTTTATTACAGTAAGTGATGACTTTCTCTAGGTGTTTTGTCAATGCCGTCTGCAAACTGTAAGCACTAGTATCTGTGTCCTGCATGAAAAGGACTTTGGAGCAGAGTTAGGTGGCCCAAGACCCCCTTTCTCTACAAACGTATCAGATGGTTTTGCAATTTCAGCAACACATCAATGAAGCTTCTTTAATAGGAGTGGTTGGAGGTGTGTCCACTTCTGCACTGTTGTTTTCTGTGGGTTTTTTTAAACTGTGGAAATTCTTCCTTCACTGATTGTGTACTCAGGGCAATTATCTCTTTTTGAAGCAACTCCTATTTCTTTGAGCTCAGTTTCAGAATGGCAGCCTTAAGCTTATCATAGACCACATGTAAATATTCCTTTTCAAAGCTTTAACATGCAGCAGACTACATCGCTGGTATAAAGACATGCTGAGAAATGCATGTTATACAATACTCTCTCCATTAGCTTTTCAGATGCAGTGGTGCATTGCACAAGCTGAAAGCCATCATTTTAAATTGCCA